CTTATAATTCTTGTCCCGGGGTTAGCATCAGCCTTCTTTGGAACAGCCTTTCCATGTACTGCCTAAAGACAAGGTTTTATCTGCAGAGGAAAAAAAGTAGTGATTTTTATTCGTTCTAATTCAAATACAAAGATTAAAGGATTGTGTGTAAGGCAGTGAGACCTTTCCTTGCTCACTAAAATTTAACAACGTAAGGGTAGTCCTCCTTTAGCAATCAGGTTCCTTTCAGTCATCTAGTCTGTGATTTCAAACGTCAGAATCAGAGTTTACAAATCACAGAAACCACAGAAAGGCTAGGGTACCATGTCGCACACCATGGGAAAGACTTAAGTCTGTCTTAAGGGTGCCAAGCTAGGAATTCTAGCAAAAAGTTGTCAAGATGCCTTTATAAGGAAACGAAACAAAAAAAAAAAAAAAAGAAAGAAAAAGAAAAAGAAAAGAAACAAAGAAGAAAAAAGAAGAGCTGGACAGATAGCTCAGCAGATTAAAGCTCTTGCCCATAATTACTGTAGATAGAGATCTGAATTCACTTTTGAAAATGTGTTGAGGGCTGGCCAGATAGCTCAGAGGATTAAAGCACCTACTTAGGCAGACACAGGGGCCAAAGATTTGATCCGGGCACACCGTGTTGGCCCCGCCCCCAGGGAGCACTGAGAAAGTGATTGAAACTGAGCGTGGTGGTGCATGCCTATAATCCTAGCTCTTGGGAGGCTAAAAACAGGAGAATCACTACGAGTCTGATCTACATAGTGAGACCCTGTACACCCTGTAGATCCTACCCTAAATTCATAAAAAAAAAAAAAAGAAACAGAAAATGTATTGAGCTACAGACTTATAATTTGCATCCTCTTTGTAATTATCCTATATCCTATCTAAAATCTTCCTGTATAAATGTTATATTTCTGATTTCCTATACTGCCAACCAAAATAGAACAAGTAAATGCTGACATACACATAGTTATGTGGCAGTCACGTTGTTATTCCAACTCTCCAAAATCTTAAATGACAAGGAAGAAAAAAATCTATTTTGAAATGCTTTGGAGTTGAATTTTTGAATTCTGCACTTCACAAACAGGACAAAAGTAATTTTATAATTCACTTAAATAAAATTCAGATTTCTATCTATACCATACTACAGGAAAGCATTTTATTCAAAAAGTAAAGGGACAGAGAGATGTACATGTATATGTGATTTCATCAAAATTGTCTATGACTTAACTGATATCCAAAAAGAAAAGGACTTTACTAACCTCAGAAAAATCACAGTC